TTGGTAACTTTGCAAGTAATTCTTAAGTAAAGAAAACTTAGAACATAAGTATAAAACATCTGAAAAAAACAAACCTACCCCTTTTCCCCTACTGTGTGGACATTTGGACTGGTTCCAGCACTGAACCTGAATGCCAGGTATCTTCCCTCCAATTCCTCCACTATTTCTACCTCACCACTATCACACTTTAATTTTCAAATAGATTTCAGCAGGCTCTAGGGAAGAAAACCCTGTACAAGGTGTAGACTCATCAGATATTACATCACTCTCATTCTTATTGCTTTCCTGTGCCATGCCCTGCCAGATCCCACATAGCACCAGTGGGAAAGAAAAAGGAGTTGACACAATTAAAAACTAGGATGAATTTCTCAAAGCTTATGTAGCTACAGACAAGAGTATTCTTTATTATTCTTTGGTGTCTCCTGGTTGCACACAATGCATTGAGTTTTAACGTGTTTGAGAAAATTCTTAGATGGTGAGTAACAGGATCAAAACCAAACTTTTATTAAGGGAAATACCTATGGCCATCTGTCTAGTTCTTGAATCATTAATTTTTTTCCTCTATATTATGAGAGTGCTTGTGTGGATTAGCTAAGGAATAAGATTTATTGCATTTTGTTTAAGGCTTGAAAGAGCGGACACCAAAGACCATCATAAAAATGTATTAATGATACAATCATATAAAGAGTCTTATCGCTATGATGTGATTTGAATGCTCACTTCACCTTTGAAGCGTTGAGTCAAGACAAGTCAAAGTGTGTCATGGTTAAAACTTCAGAGTCTGGTAGTATTCAATCTAACAAAAACCAGTGGACTAAATACTGCTTCCGAAAAATCCTATTATGCAGTTTCAGATTCTCAGAGTTTCAAAGATGCCAAATAAGTGATAAGATCAGAAAGCTCCCAACCTGAAATATCACAACTGTACTTTCACACACAGATGTGGAAAAAATTTTGGAAAAAAACTAGCAAGGGAAGTATATATATAAACCTGTACAATGCTTCGTGAGAGTGTAAACAACAATAAAATTGTATTTCTCAGTTTTTTTAAGGTGATTATTCATTTCACATTTTCCACTGAAAAAGTACTCTGCACAGATTTTCCATTTAATAAATTCCTCCCCAAGGGGATCAGAAAAGGAAAAGAAAACAACAATGAAACTCAAATTCATGCACAACATCAGTTTAATGATAAAAAGTCAAGCACTATTTCCCCCCAAAAAAGGACTATATATTTATATAAGGGAAAGAAAGCTGTTTAAAACAATTCCAATAGAAAATCAGCAAGAAAGAGTACTCTTTTTCTCGAATCCTTATGAAAACCACTCCAATGATCATTTAAAAGTACAGCATTATACCAAATTAATGTGAAATTCAAAATCACAAAGGCACGGAAAGACATCAAAAGCAGGAACTTCAAGAATAACACATATATTAGCCATGTCTCCAGACAACAGCTTGCTTGACTCTCAGGATTGCAGAAGGGCACGAGGGTGCTCAAGCCATCGGGAGAGCCTGGCCAGCAGCTCCATCCTCAGTCTGAGACCTGGCTCTGGGGTTCCTGGCCGATGCACTCACTGGACGTCTGGCATGGCTTTAGCAGGGCAGGCACCTTCTGTCGCCATACCGGCCACCAAAGCCAGAGAGGCTAAAGCCCCCAGAGTTGATGGGCACTCCCTCCTCCCTCAGGATGCTGCCAACAGCAGCGGAGGTGGTGGAGCCCACGGCGGTGTTCTGGGGGAAGGAGCTGAGGATGGGTCCGGGCAGGGTCACCACCACGGGAGATGGTTCGATAATCACTCGGGAGTCCC